GGTCGTATTTTAAATTTGATGAGTGGAATAGATTTGTCCTAACCTCATCTAACGTACCCTAACCTAATTTAAGTAAAATGACCACTGGTCAGTTAGTTATTTGAGTTTAGGTCTTTTCGGTTTTAGGTCTTTTAGGAGAGTCCCCATTGAATCACTTTCATTTATTAAATACAGATCGGACTGAACAGTTAAGGGTTTGGGTAAAGTAAGGTTTACGTTTTGGTTGTAGCTAATGTGCACTGAGTAGACTACCCCATTGCTAGTTCAACTCATCAGGTTAGGGTGTTAACCCCCGAGATCGGGGACTGTCGGGCCTACAGACGGACATGAAGGGTAAGCACTTAGCCAAGTATACCGCTTAGATGTTCACAGGGGATAATTAGCTAATGCTGTGAGGGTGTAACGGATGTGTCGATCCGTCATATGGGTGCGTCGCTGCCTCGATGCTCATATAAGAGACTGTGTTGGGTAATGGGGTAGAATGGGGGTTTCGGGTGGAGTAACCTCGTATTATACACGTGGGTACTACAATATTAATAAACCAAAAGTCATGAATTTATATTAAAATTATATGTAACTACTATTGACGACTTGACGAGTGAATGACATTTGGTATACCATAGCATATAATCTCAATTAGAGTACAATTCTTGAGGTACGGAATCGACCAGAATATTGAACCTAATATTAAAGTTTTATCAGTAATTAACAAAATTTAAACAATTTTCGCGATATAATTGCAAATTTTTCAATAAATTCAATGTCTGTGAGTCCATTATCTGCTTGTCATACACCATTGGATAGTACATTAAATATATTAATGAAAGTAGGGTTTTTACCAAGTTTGCTAGTGTAGAAAATTACAGACAATTAAGATGCGTTAATAATGTACTGTAATTAATAACTTATTAACACCATGTCAAAATGTTTTTCAAGGTATGGGAAGTCCCGAAACAGTGTATATTTTATTAGCTATATTATAAAAAATTATTTTATTATTTTAATGAATTTTAACAGAGAAATTATAACTATGATATTTATTATAAAAATTATATTGATAAGTACTTTCTATTTATTATATTCAAAACAGTATAATTTTGATACAGAATATTTTAAAAAATACATAGGATCATTATACCACACAATTAAGATATTAATACAGTTTTTACTAACGAAATTTAACTTTGAATTATATATTAAATATAATAATCCTTAATATTTGAATTTATTCATAAATAGTCCTTACAAATTCAAATAAGACAAAAAAACAAATATTGAATATATTTTATTCTAATAGATAATAAACAATTCATTTTTGCAGAATATTTTGTTATAATAATTATAATTAACAATTATTGTCATTAAATGTGTTTGACACATAATGTATTACCACAATTAGTTGGTTTGTAATTATATGACTATAGTTTTAAGATATTAATAATCTAATTAACAAAAGTTTAATTCACTTGCCAAGTAGTTCTTTTTGGGCCTTTTTTGAGCTCGTTATTTCAGCCTTTTTATCATCGATGATGGCTATATTGGTCTGGACGTTCTTGCTAATGTCGGCCATCGGTTTTGTCAAACTCAAAATAACCTTGCGCGCGTCATTCAGCGATAAAGTATTCCAGATTTTGTGCGGCTTTAAGCCGTCGATATGTTCGAACAGTCGATTTGTTTCGGCCACCGATTTGTCCCACGAGACCGAACAATCATGTTTATAAAATTGCTCAAATTTAATACCTTGTTAAAAAAAAGTAAACAACGTTTCATTTTCACAGTCCTCATTACAATCAACTAGGCAATTTGTTTAAAAATATATTCCATACCATTATGAATGGCACACAGAAATCTAAAGGACTCGTTGTCCATACAATATATCGTATGCTTCGACAGCTCTATATTAACGTCTTTATTCTCATTCAGAAGCGTTTTTAATGCCGGCAGTGTATAAGCCGGTCTATGGATATAGAGATTAAAATAATTAAAATAATTATAATTATATTAATGAACACGAAATTGGTTCATATATAAACAAGGTTTGCAAGCATTGCTATAAAAAGTCACATTTGCATTTAAGGAAATATATAATTATAATCTTAGAGTTATATTTGAGATCCCACTATAACTTGAGTGGAAGTTTGAAAAACTCATCTCATATTAACTCTGAATTTTTAATTGACAGATGATTGCATTATCCGAGCCCCTGGTTACCCTACCTATAAAACGTGCTACGTGTATTAGTGAAGCAAAACACTATGTTGTTGCTTGCACTTTTGTGCAGATGTGTCAACAACTCTTTGACGCAATACTGGAACATAACAGTGAGTTTGGAGGTGTTGGGCTTTAACAGTATGCATATGCCGTGCAACTCATCCAGGTTTGAGATGTACCGCAATATGGCGTCGAAGTTCTCTTTGTCCTGTTCGAGGCCACGCGTGTCTCCAATGCCAGGCGTATCAATGAGTCTAACGTGCTTTTTACCTTCATTAATGGAGCAGTGTATTTTTTAATTTGAATTTATTAGCATATAGAATAAGAATTGAATAATATTATAATTTATAAATGTAAAAAGTTTTATTTATGTAAATATACAAATATATAAATAAACAAAATTACTTTATATAAAATTATATTTTATATTACTCTATTAGAAATTTAAGCTTAATGGGGAACCTCGTTAGGTGTCAGCAAATTTTGCCAGGATAATATGCAATAACATAAACTCTATGATCATATCTACCATTTGAATTGATTAAACTTTCCGAATATCACCCACTAATCCCGTAAATCCAATTATAGTCCCTGGTGACATGCACATTTTACATATTAAATAACATTATAAATATAAACGGCACTTCACCAATATTTTGACGGCAATTTTCCGTCAGATTTTAATATAAATTGTGATTATATTTACGAAAAATATAAGTCTATGAATTCATATAAAAATATTACTGTATGATTGAATAGCCATCCATATTTATAATATGTAAAATGTGAATGTCACCAGTGACTATAATTGGATTTAAGGGATTAGTTGGTGATATTCGGAAAGTTTGATCAATTCAAATGGTAGATATGATAATAAAGTTTATGTTAATGCAGATTATCCTGGCACAGTTTGCTGACACCTAACGAGGTTCCCCATTTAAACTTATTAAGTCAAAAGTTTTAGCATTCTCATCGAATAAAACTTATAAGAACATTCTGAAAAAGTGATCTAGACTAAATTTTTATGCTTTATATGGTTTAATACATATGGTTAAAAAGTTAGAATTATATTTATGTGAAAATTAAAATCTTATAAAATCATTAAATTCGTTTTTTAATTTAATACAAAATGTTTTTTAATATTTTAAATTTTTGATATCAAAGTTGTATTTATTTTTCATATGAAAAGAAAATTATAAAAGTACAAAATAACCGCTTTATATTTTCTAATATAATTCTAAAAATTTCCAACTTCAAAGTTCAAACATAAATATTGTGACGCGTTACCCCTAGCCGACTCATTCTACGCGCGGACCTAGACGCTAGCAACGCACGCGCGCTCGGCGTCTCAGGCCTTCCGACTTGTAATTTTCTACGTGGGCTCGGTTAAGGGCAGAGGCGCGCCCTATTCTCTTATTTCTACCTCTTATTAAGTGATAAGATCAAATCATTCAGCTTACCTTCGTGGGTTAAGTTTGGCGGGATGTCGGATGACTTCCGCTCACTCACTCACAGGCACACACTAACTTTCTAACAATAATCGACACAACGATAAGATAAGGCGAACACTTATTTAATTTAAGATTTTAAACACTTGATAATACACGAAATTAAGAGACGTGAATAATGATTGAGAATTGTGGATTTTAACAAAAGATTCTAAGTGATTTACACAAGATTTCCGGAATTAGTTGACAAGAGTTTCCCCTTACACTAGGTAACTTAGGAGCACTTTTACTCGGCGAACGCTTAGACCTTATATACTACTCGCGTAGCTTTGGCTGTTCTAAACTAACCAACAAATCGAACTACTGTTCCAGAGCGGTGTTGAGCTCTGATTGGTGGGTTATCTCATTCTCTAACATTCTCTAACACAAAGACCAATCTGTGATGGCTTTTGCAATAAGGATCTTTGATACACACTTGACTGATTGTCAATTTACGAGAATTTTGTGAGTTTGGTTTGTAGCCTTTTTAGTGCTAACTCGAGGCAGACTGTTGGAGCCATATAATTGATTTTTCAGCGAGTGCAATCTAAGTGCTCTAGCGAAAGCATTGGAAAGGCGAGAGAGCTGTTATGCATCTCTCGAGCTCTAGTTGTTGGAGTTGGTATGATAGAGCTCGCACTACTCGTATGTAACTATGGCTTTTGTGGGAGATAATCAAGGGTGCTTTTGTAGTTACACCCACGCTCATAATGATGTTCTATGAGCCCCCATTACTGTAAGCGGAAGTTGGAAAGCTCACTTGGCTACTGCATCTCGAGTTAGTTAAAGTGATAGAGAGTTATCCAAGGACACCTCTCAATGGCTACTTGGTGTTATGTGGTTATTACTACCACAATGGTGTTATGTGGTGTTATTTGTTAAGTGGAATAGGAGGTGAGGGGTTAGATGTAAGGCTGAGTAGGCATTACAATATCTAAGTTGGAAACATCGAGGAACAAATGTAAATTTAGTGTGTATTGCCATCAATAGTTTGCCAGTAACATAATTAACATTTTGAATTGGCTAAACGTGGCGAATGAAATAAATTAGCTTAATTCACTTAAGTGTTAAATTCACTTTCATCCACTGCTGAGATCCACATTTTGTCATTGAAATAACATTAGATTTAATTGCATATAATTGTATACTAGTACTTTGTTTGCATATATAAATAATTATTTATAAAATTATGTTATGTATGACGACACAAAGCAGATAACATTCATGTTATGTACAATTCATAGAACACATTTTATTTTTAATGACAAAATGAGAATGTCATCACTGGTTTAAAGTGAATTTAACAAGCGAATTTATTTCATTCACCATGTTTAGTCAATTCAAAATGTTAATTATGTTACTGACTAACTATTGATGGCAATCATAACCACTAAATTTAGAATTGTTCCTCGATGTTTCCAACTATATAACAGGGTAATATAAAAATATCGTTTTATATACAAGATAATCTATCGATGATTAATGAACTGAAGTCAGAGCTAAAATAGAAATTACGGTTTTAAAGTAATCAATTAGAAACCTGTCCTAGTATTGCCTGTCCATAAGTGGTATATACTGAATATATAAACCGGACCAACAACTTTGATTTAAATGCTAAATCTAACTCATATGAATTTTAATGTAATTTTGTTTTTAATTAAAATATTTAAAATATAGATTTCGTAGCAATAACTCACCCCAATCCAATGCATAGGCTTTTGGTTCTTGAGTAGTCGACTGTCCTGCAACCATTACCTCATTCTTATCGTCGCCAATCTTAATTTTATATTGCTTAAAGTTTATATCGGTAATTGTAAATGATGACGCTATTAGACTCAGCGATTTATTCTGCTCGGCATCATCCAGCGACTTGAATGTCATATAATTGACCAGGCCATTTATCCAGGTGGACTTACCCACGCCAGTTTCGCCCAAAATCAATATATTCATCTCTTTCATTGGTCGCAATTTTTCTAATAGTTTTTCCAAATCTTTATCTATTAATTTGACATGATGAAATGTTAATTTGTGTTTAAAAATTCCAAAATTTTTTAAATATTGATAGATATTAAGTAAACTATTTTTATATTTAAATTTCATGGTTGTAAAATTTATAATATAATTTATAATTTAAATTAATAACAAATTTACCTGCGAAACTTATAAAATCACCACCGTGCTTATCATTATTACATTTATACTGATAAGATTCATTTGACGTTTTACCACATGCACAATAAAAGTAGCCATCGAAACCATGCTCAATTAGTTCGTCACATTTGTAACACTGCCAGGTTTGGTCGTCCTTTGAATCACAATAACCTGATAGTGAGCCGGGACATCGTACCTCCAAAATGACACCCTTATTGGGCTTATTCACTACTAATTGAACCGGCTCAGTTGGCTTAATCAAACACCGGTCATTATGGGTAATATAATCAAGCAATACATTCTGATGAATATATTTGCCATTCTTAAACAGGCAAATACGCGTTCCTTTTGCAACATGTTCCTGGTCATTTAACTCGGGTCTCATATCCAAATCGGCGGCTATAAATCTGATCATATCCTTTTTAGCGCCTGTAGCAAGGTCATTGTTCTGTTTAACCAGTCGTAAAAAATAATGTTTATTATCAGTCCAGTTTCGATCCTTTGTGTCACTCGACAAACTGGCCCAGAACAAAATATAAATTTCCGATTGTAGGCGTTCCATTTTAGCCGTTTCCAGTGACTGGCCATGCCCGGGTGCGCCCACGTATATAACCCCTTCGTGTTGTAACATTTTGGCGTAAGTTATTTTTTCGGCAATATCTTCGTTACTATTAATAAAATTTTGTATTTTATTTTCCGAAAGTGAGCCCTCGTTTGTGTCGCTAATGAGCCTTTCCAGTTTGTCACCGCCAGCCCTCCCGGAGCGAACCTCCACCAATAATTCGGCTAATTTTGATCTGTCATAATTTTTAAAAATTTAAATAAATATCTCAATAATATTATAATTATTACCTAAGGCTGGCCTCATCCAAGTCTAATTGATCCTTTCGG